ATTTGAACTCAACTTTCCTGAGTCCTAGTCCATCACTCTATCCAATAGTACTGTATATTATTCTGGTTATGAGGTGGCAAATCAGCCCCCAGCTCATCCAGGGCCACACTAGCCATGGTGCCCTTGATACCCAACGGAAGCCACAACACCTACCCCAACTCCACTGTTACAAGTGGCAAGAGACACAGCAAAGGAGGCTCTGGAAGGAGCAGCACCATGGAGTCTGGTTCCTATCCTTTTCAGCAGGCCTTTACTACCCCTCCCTAAAAAGACTATGTCCCAGATTTGGAGTCCTAGTTTCCACCCACTTCTCTGTACATGAACATTTTGGGGATGCCATTGAAGTCAACTGGGGACCCAGTCGGATAGACTGCACCCAGGAAGTTAATGTTGGAAATTCAACTCCTTGGGAATGTGGGTGAAAGGGCAGTTGGGGCTGACTCTATGCCTTCGATAAAATCTTCCATGAGTGACAAAACCAAGGTGAAAACCATGAAGTTACTGCCTGGGGACTCCTTAGCCACCGAGGCCCTGGAAGGGTTGGGGGCAGCCAGACTCCCAGTCTCCCTATTTCAAGTCCACTCCTCTAATCATTGCTAGCTTTCTCAGATCAGTGATTACTGTGTAAATTATTCCAAAGCTAAAGTATAGAAAAGTAGAAAAAATGGAGGGATTAATATGTTTAATTTATATATTATGAAAAATCTATATCAGTTAGCATATTATGCAAATTAAGCTGTCTTGATTTAAAGAACTGGAATATAAGAACCCTAATTTGAATCCCCTTTAAAAGCACAGCTCCTTTTAAAGTGAAAACAAGAATTGATCTGATCTCTTGTGGTCTCAATAAGCTAACAATGTAGGTGCAGATGAAATGTTAAGATTTCAATTCCTGGCCAGTTAACCAAAGCACCAAAGTCAGCAGTGACTAGCAGAAGAAGCCTGGATGCCGAGAACGAGATGACATGCACTTGCATACAGCTTTTTCACATTAGAATTCACTAGAACTTGGGCTTATTTTTTATTTCCATTGAAAGCCACTGAGTTATTGTGTAGGTTTTGGGAGGTGAGACGTGTGACCTTGCTGCAATTAAATAGATTCTTATTTTGTGGTCTTATTTGCAGTTATCATTGACCCAGAGAAAACAAGTTTTTAAGATGTAACTATATTTCTGAGATATAACTGTACAAGCATGCTCTAAGAAAGATCTATCAATTACATTATGTTGTTCTAAGAAAGATATCTTAGTTACAGTATGTTGTATGTCTCTTCGTGTGTTGCTTTCTTTCTTTTTCAAGGAGGAGCTATTGTTGACAACTAAGAATGGCATGATACGTTGTTCTCAAGAGACTATGGCAAGTAGCTGCTGCCTGAATGTGGAGCAGAAGGGCAATCACTTAAGCAGCTCTGCTGCTCTGGTAGGCTCTCTACCACATGCCTGTTCTCATACTCAATGTGAGATCAGTTGTGTAATAGGAAGCCTGCTGGAGAAGGTGGACAGAAAATGTGGCTGGCTTTCTGCTCCACGTTTTGGTAATTGGCAGGGAGGTTGGCAGGTCTTTGGGTTGAAGTCCGAGTCTTTAGTCCCAAGTCCCGAGTCCGAGTCCCTATTAAAAACATGCTATTTTTGCCCAGAAAAAAAGGGTGTGGGTTGGTGCGTTCCGTGTTGTCAGTCAAGTCCAAATCATTGGGGGGGGGACCTGAGTTGAGTCCGGGTCGAGTCACTGGTGCAACTGAAGTCCAACTTGACGGTGAGTCCTGCGATTCAAGAAGGGTGTGGGTTGGTGCGTTCCGTGTTGTTAGTCAAGTCCAAGTCTTTGGGGGGGAAAAAACCTGAGTTGAGTCCGTGTCAAGTCACTGGTGCAACTGAAGTTCAACTTGACGGTGAGTCCTGCGATTCAATTCCCCATTCCTGCTAATTGGATAATGGTCCATATGCCACAGGAACATGTGAAGGCACACATGTCTCTCTCTCTCTCTCTCTCAAATAAGAGGTCTTAGGGTTTCAGTAAAGACATACCCATGCAGAGTCCTAAAAGACGGGTGAACAAAGTCCACAAAGCTGCTATTATGCCCTGCCCATTTCTTGCTCCAGAACGGGCAATTGTACCTTCTAAGGGGATGCAATTGTTCATTTTGCTACATTCCACCTGACCTGTTTGTTGGGAGGCCCTTTTTTCAAACCAGATGATGAATGTCTAGTCACTGCCAGTTTTGAAAAAAGGGACTTGAGTACTTAAATCAAATAGGGGGTTGTATGGGCAGTGAGGTGAAATCATCAGTAGTACCCTCAGGGCATGTTGGGGGAGAGGGCAACCCTCTGAGCTCATGAGGTGCATGCAGCCCGCAAACCTCAGAAAGTTGCCCATCGTGGTCTGGAACAAGACTGTGTTAGTGAAACACTGCCAACTCCTGATTTCATAACTGTTTCATTTCTAACATGTTCTTTAAAAAGTCAAAGTGGGCCTTTAAAAAAGAGCTAGCGAATGATTGTTATTATATGTTGTCAGATTCTTTCTGATTTAGAACAACCTTATGAATTAATAACTTCCAAAAGGTCCTATCATTAAGATCCCCACGATGGTATTACAGTCTCAGTGAGTCAGTCCATCCCGCATTCAATCCTCCTCTTTTCCTACAGTCTTTCTGTTTTCCTAGCAAATGTTCTCATTTTTGTGGCATCTTGTCTTCTCATGATATGTCCAAAGGATGAGTTATTTTAAGTTTCAGGGAGAGTTCCGGCTTGGTTTGATACTGATTTCTTTTCCACTCATTTGTTTTCATTCATGGCAAAGCTCCACTCTAATGCCACATTTCAAGTGAATCAACTTTTTTCATTATCCAGTTTTCACATCTGTTCACTGTAATTTGGAATACCATAGTATGCATGATCTTAGCCTTTGGTTCCAATGCCACATCCTTACACTTATGGAATTTTTGTAGTTTCTTCACAACAGCTCTTCAATTTTTCACTTGTTTCCTGCTTTCTTGGCTGCAGTCTTCATTTTTATTGATTAATATAGAATATCTTTTTGATTTCTTCATCATGAACATTAAAATTATATAATTCATCTGTAGTGATTATTGTTATCTTATTGATATTCAACTATAATCCTCTTTTTAACTTTGTTCTTTAACTGTCAGCAGTATTCACTTTGAAGCATTGCTATTTTCTGCTAGTAGTATGGTGTCATCTGCGTATAGTATATATTTTTATCTTTATTCTACTAATTTTCACTCCACCTATATTTAATCCATTTTAAGTATATGTTCTGCACATGCTATAGATAGAAAAGATAGGAAGATAAAGCACTCCCTCATCTGACAACTTCACCAATTGAAACCATAGTTTCTCCATATACTGTCCTACCAGTAACCTCCTGTCCTCAATATAGGTTACATATTAAGAGAAGCAAATATTAAAGCTGTCATTCTTTTAGAATAGTCCACAGCTTTTTATGACCTACACAGTCAAAAGCTATTTTGTAATACAGTAGTTCCCAACTTTTGGTTCTCAGAAGTTTTTGGATTAAAACTCACAGAAGCCTTCATAACTAGCTGTGCTGGCCAGGATTTCTAGGAGTTGTAGTCCAAGAGTATCTGGGGATCCAAGATTGGGAACGACTGTTGTAATATATAAAGCAAAAAAATACCTTCTTATGAAACTCTTTTGTACACTCTAGTAGACAAAATATATTTGCAATATAGTCTTTATTGTCTGTTCCTTTTCGGAATCCAGCTTGAAGTTGCCATTTACTGCTCCACAGATGGTAGGTGTTTGAGGTTAACACCCATAAAATTAACCAGGTAAATTTAAAAATTAGGAATTTGACTTTCAGTTTTCTAAGAATTATTTTGCCATTTAAATTCATTTTAAACAACTAAACCTTTTAATAAGCTAGTTAAATTCTGTGATCAGAGCTTGAAAATCACACCTTAGAATTACTGCATTAGCATTAAATGTAATACTTGTAAGACTAGCATTAAATGTAACACTGTACTTGTAATACTTGTGAGAAAAGGGTAGTGTACAACAATGAGATTACCATACACAGTTCTTGTGAATTATATTTAAGGATATACGACTGTTTCACAATATGTCTGTTTATGGATATTTGACTGCTTGGTTCATATATTTAGCAAGTTAGTTTTCAAGAATGATAAAAGTAAATATTGAGTAAGATGCATATATTGTTAAGCGTTAAGGCACATGTCCAATCTCCCTCTCTATTAAAATAAGTAGAAAAGAGAGTCATAACTTTTTTAGACCATTTATTTTTCTAAATGCTGCTCCAGTGATGTTGTTATGCTTGTATCTTCATTTTGTTGATTAGCTTTCTGAAATAATTTTATGGTGCAGAGAAAATATAAATGGAAAAAAACCCCTGAAATCCTGTTATGTTCTTCTTGTCTACATGTTCCATTTGTGTTCAACTTGTTTCATTGTTGTTTTATTTGGTAGCTATGCTTTTTAAAATTTCTTGCTTCTTATAATACCAACAAAATTTCATTATATTCAGACCAGAAGTTTAATTTTATTTTTCACCTCAATGTATATATAAATGCAATAACATTTGTCAGTGAAAGTATAATAATAATAATGAAATGTTTGCAATTAATTAATATTTGAAATTTTGTATTCTAGAAAAAAAAAGTCAAAGAGTGATCTTTCTTTCTTATAACTTCTCAGTGTATTTATATGGGCCTCCTTTTGATCATACCTTGTCTGAAATTTGGTATGGCCATCAAGAACCATTTAAAACTGCCTTTGTGGTACAATCCAACATACAACTCCAAATCAGTTATCTTCAAAATGACTCTTTTAACATAGTTTAAAATCCCTTGGAAAGGAAGATTCTCTCAACTGTAATCAATTAGGCTGCTAATAAAATACGTGTAAAATAATGAAGAAAGTATCTGTAAATTAGTTCTTTAACATGCTACAGCTTATGAAGAATGCTGACTTTATCTGATTGTAATAGGTATGCTTTTTTTAAAGCTTGTATGTCACCACAATGATTCCACCAGGAGAATGCCTATATGCTGGCAGGAAAAGACGGAAACCCATTCAGAAACAGTTAAGTATTTATTTATCAAAATTACATTATACTATAAATTTAGTAGAAACGTACCTCAACTGACCACAATGTAGAAGACTGGGAGTGGGAATCTGAGACCTAAGGCAACTTCTCTGAATCCCAAATTCAGGTATTGAGAAAAAGATGGGGTATATAATAATCAATAAACAAAGCTTAATAATTCTCACAAATTCATATATACCTTGAATTTTCTACAGTTCATTAAAATATGAATGTATGTGAAAAATAAGTATTTCTGTTTTTTAAAAGTATCATCCATTTGTTTAAAAACAACCACATTATCATTTCAAAAAACTATAATTTTACCAGTGCTAAAATTCATGATTATATTACATAAAACTAAGGTAACCCTTTGTCTACTCCTTCTTCCTTCATTTTCTCATCGTACTGCTTATCTATTCAGGCTGAGGGGAGGATGAGAGGAGAGGGCTGATCCTCCATCAAGTCCTATTCTGCTGTGCATGGGGAGGGCAGGGCTGGCTAGCTGGTGGCTGCTGCTGCTAGTGGCTGAATGGTATGGCTGCAGAAGCAGGTGCTGATAGGGTCTCTCCCTCTCTGGGAATCAATCTGGTGCAATCTTCTTTCCATGGTCACCATGCCTTAGGTGGGAGAGAAGCTGGCCCTGTGGCTACATAGTTGAAGGGCTGAGCTCCCATGGGCTGCACTACCCTCTCGTTACTTCTTTCTTCTGTCTTGAATATCTTTAACTGTCAAGGTTTGAAAGCTTGTGTAATTAAGAGAGTTAGAAAAATAAAAAGGGATATAATAATTTGCCCTAAAGGGAAGGTACTTCTAAAACTTGCAGCTTTAAAAAATAGGTCCCGTAAGTAATTGCAAAACAATAAACCAGCTCCAGCAATGATTTATAAACCATCTTGACAACTGAATTCCTGTTCTGGTTGTGATTTGTAAACTCACTTATGAAATCATCTAAAAAAAGAGGTGAATGAATGAAATGGGGACGGGGGTATTTTATAATCTCCACCATATTTTGGAAAATGTAAACCCATGAGATCTAGGTTTTATTACTACCATGTTAGAGCTAGACTACCAAAAATGTCAGGTAGATACCTTCTAGGATAGCCAGAGGTAGTCAAAATGTAGGGCCTCGTAAACATATTTATTTTCTAGCCCAGGAATTTGGGTAGGTGCAAAGTCAATGGGATTTTCTATTATGCTGAACATCCAGTAGTTTCCTATTATTGTGTAACCTGGGTGAGCAGAAAGAAATTGTTTAGGTTTCATGAAGAATGGGAAAAGTTACAAATACAATTTAGAACAGATAGTCAGATTAAGGTGCAACAATCATGCCAGCCGAGGGATGCAAGCAGGGAGAAAAGGTAACGAAACAGTGCAGAGAAAAGACACCGGAGTCATGGGTTTTCCTCCATAGTATTTAACTACAGTAATTTGGCTGGGTGAGAACAATACTGTATTTAATATTTTTTTCTACATGTTTCCAAATATGCTCAGAGCATAAGAAATTTATTTTCTTTAGTAGATTTTTACTTTTAACATCTTTAGTATTTTAAATATGTTTTTAAATACTATTAAAGAGTCCTTAAAGTTACAATGCTTTTACTTTTCATTGATGTGTCTTAGAGATGTATTATCTGTTTTTATAAACAATAAGTTCTTGCATCTTTACAATGTAATTTAAATCATTATTTTTTAATAATTTATTATAATTCTGCTCCTGTATTTTGGACTGAATTCTGACTCACATAGAGGTATTAGTTTGGTTTTCATAGATTTTTAGGTATTTGTGCCAAGGTTTTCTTCATAGCTGTTAGATTGTTTGGAAAGAGCCCGAAAAACCCAGAACAACCAATTCCAAAGTAATTTTGTACATATGGAACATGGAAGCAATGTAGATAAATAGAGCTTGTAAAGTTGTTGCAACAATGAAAATACTAGCATTCCGGAGTGAATTCTTTATTGGGATAAATGTCAGCTGTGACAAACACAGGATTCTGACTTTCTGTTCAGACTGAATTAGAGCACACAGCCCGAAAAACCCAGAACAACCAATTCCAAAGTAATTTTGTACATATGGAACATGGAAGCAATGTAGATAAATAGAGCTTGTAAAGTTGTTGCAACAATGAAAATACTAGCATTCCGGAGTGAATTCTTTATTGGGATAAATGTCAGCTGTGACAAACACAGGATTCTGACTTTCTGTTCAGACTGAATTAGAGCACACACATAAATCACACAAAAACTCAAGTGTGCCCTTGAGATTATACTTAACGGAGAATATCTGCTGACAGAGGACATAGTTTATGTTTCTCAACATCATGATTTGTTGCAAAATGACATGGGACTTTTTTGTTTGTCCCCAGATAGTAAGCAATGTTAAACAACATCAATGGTACTGTAATTTTGCAAGTTGTATTAAATATAGCTCATTTTGGTCCCCATAATAGCATAAGTTGGGGCAGATAGTCTTTCCAAATTTTGACCTCAGTTGCATCAAAAGTATTAGACTTCATTGTTATGAATTCATCTTTACCTGGGAATAAGGTAGCTATGTTGGGTTGACCTGTGCCGCCAATTGATTAGAAGAGGATGCCATAGCCTTTCTCTTTGTTTGCCTGAGAGCGGCTATAAGGGTTCAAGAAAGCTGGGCCTTGGTAACCCATTTTTTTTCTACAAACAGGAGGCCTGCGCTTGTGAATGGAAAGTCTAATCCATCAAAACGACATAGAGACCGCTTGAATGCTGAACTTGACCACCTGGCCAGCCTCTTGCCTTTCCCACCAGATGTAATCTCTAAACTGGACAAACTCTCTGTCTTACGGCTCAGTGTCAGTTACTTTAGAGTAAAAAGTTTCTTTCAAGGTAAGCACTGAAGAAATACAAATATTTTTGAGGCCTAATGCAGGGGAAAGTAATGCTGGCTTTTCCAGTATTGTAGCGTTGTGGCTAGGTTGCTAGGGTTGACGAGAGCTGCAATCTAAGAACATCTGGAGGGCCACAGCTATCCCCACCCCATCCCAGTATAAGTGCAATCATTACACTAGGAATGCTATTCAGCAGCAAGTCATTCTATCCCCGCTACAGTACTCCATCTGCAGCATTTGTTTACCTACCTACCTACCTACCTACCTACCTACCTACCTACCTACCTACCTACCTACCTACCTACCTACCTACCTACCTACCTACCTACCTATTACGGTATTTCTTTTGTAGATCGAAACCTTATCTCTTAAGAAAATATTCTCACAATGTACCATTAGAAATACAGAAACATAGTTAAAGTGTAAATACAATTTAAAAAACTTAGTAAAATATATTATAAAGTATGTTATAAAAATATCAGAGATAAAAGAATTTATAAAACCAGTTAGCATAACTGTGTGGATAAAACTAATTTCCTTTATAAGGTTGTTGTAAGCATTACACCAATATGCTATGCACATGTGCTTTGAACCCTAAAAGTGTTATATGAATATTTGCTACTCTTATTAAATGTTTGAATGGAGAACCCTTGATTACCTGCAATATGAAGGGCTGCAGCCTAAGCCTGGATAGGTTTGCTTTATATTTATTGATAATATATAAGCTGGTGTTTTAAAACATTCTTTTAAACATTTTTTTAAATGTGTGTTTTCCATTTTATGTTTTCCATTTCTCAGAGTGGCATTTTGCTTTTTTCTCTTTTAATATTTGTATACTTATTTTTCTTAGCTTTAATATTGCTAATAGAGATGGGGGTATTTGTATTCATATGCGAATACCTCATCTCTAATTGCTAACGATGTAAGCTGCCTCTTTATATTCACTCACTGTTCTTAGGTTTAAATATTGTCTTTTATATTTGTTAACTGCCATTGTATACTCCTTGTTTTCAACTTTAAATATTGTCTGTCAATTTTGTAAGCCACCTTGGATCATTTTGAAGGAGAAAGGTGGGGTAAAATATTTTTAATAAATAAATACACATTTTTTAAAAAACATAAAGAGAGGAAACTAGGAAATAGCAGGATAGTTAGATTAGTATCTATTCTAGTTAAACTGGTGGAAAGCATTATTAAAGATAAGATGTTCAAGCATATAAACAGAGATTGGGAATATGAGGCCTTCCAAGTACAGTATTACTGAACTACCATCTGCTATAGCAAGCACAGCCAATAGTGAAAACTGATGGAAGTAGCTCAGAAATATCTATGCTGCAATACATTCTCCATCTCTAGTATAAAAGGATGATGTCTGGCAAAAATAAAAATCAACATGGATTTTGCAGATGTTGATTCTTCCTCAGTAATCATCCATAGGGCAATCTCTGTGTGTGGACACAGATTTCTTGTGCAAAATATGTAGATCTGAGTCATCTGATTGGTAGACATTGTATACTCAGATTTTTAAAAAATGTTTGACAAAGCCCTTCCCTAAAGTCTTGTGAGTAAATCTTTCTGTCATGGAACAGAAGGAGAGGTTTTCTTATACATCAGTAAACAGTTACATTTTGCCAACATATGTAAAGAACAGAAAGCAGAGCATAGGACGAAATGGAGAGCTCTCACAAATAAAGAATGTAAACCACACGATTCCCAAAGGCTCTGCATAGAGACTTCTTTTTAACTTGCTCATAAATGATCTGGAGTTATCTGACGTGGTGAACAGTAAGAAGTTCAAATTAACTGGTGACAATGAATAATTCTTGGGCAGTGGTTCCCAGCCTTGAGTACCCAGATGTTCTTGAACTAAAACTTCTAAAAGCCTTCACAACTAGCTGTGCGGGCCAGGATTTCTGGGAGTTGTAGTCCAAGAATATCCGGGGACCTGAATTTGGCAATTATTCTTCTGGGGTGTATAAAACAAAAATGTACAGTGAAAGGCTCCAAAAGTATCTCTCCATTATGAAGGGACATTAAAATGGCAAGCATAATTCAGTGTAAGCTAGTGCAAAGTGATACACATTGGAACAACAACAACAAATCCAACTTCACATGCATGCGCCTGAGCCGACAGGGACTGAACAGGAAAGAGATTGTTGAATTGAGGTGAACAGTTTGATGAAAACATCAACCCAGCATGCAGCTGCTGTGGAAAAGTCATATTCCATTGTGAGAATTATTCAGAATAAAAGAGGAAAAGTATATAAACTACCTACACTGAATATCTTTACACAAATCTTATGGTTTGGCTACAGTTGATATACTGAGTTTTGGGAATGATATTGTAGAGCCAGAAAAGTACCAAAAAAGGCACCCAAAATGAAATCAAGGAATTGGAGTAATTTGCGTGAGAGGAAAAGTTGAATTCTTTCATCCTTTCAGCCTAGGGGAAAAAAGTAAATGAGGGGAGTAATGTTAGAGGTATATAAAGACACACAAGACATGGACAAAGTTCACCCTTCTCTCTAGTGATCATATTAGAACTTGGGGTAGTTAGGCTTTGGGTGTAGCAGCTGCATTTGGTTTACGTAACCACACGAAGGCCCAAGTTGTTTCAGTGCAAGCGTCCACACAGATCCCTCAATCCAATGTGGTTCGATCCACGCCCATTGCTCCTTTCCATTGATATCACCCTCCTGGTAATCACTGGCTCTCTTTTTATGGTCTGCTGTCATGTTGTTGGCTGCATGGCAAAGCAGCAGTTTCCAAAGTTCTCCATGCATTCATAACCATGGAAACATTTTGTAGTCTGTTGGAGTTCATCAGAGTTCTTTTGATTTTATATTTATGTTTTAATCTTTTTTCTCTGTGCAGATGTGATCTAGTGCTTTATTAATGTAGAAATGCAGTGATAAGGTGATCTACTACTATACTCAATAGCTGTTTTTTTTAAAAAAAAAGAAAGAAAGAAAAATATGTCATGGCAACTAGGGAGAAAGATTGTGAAGATGACTATATCCACTTTCCCAAAACATCATGCCCCAACTTACTACATCACCAGAAAACCACCCAAGGTACAACCCTTTCGTGGAACAAAACAAACAATCACACAGGCAAAATGTAATTTGAATTGTTGCACCTAGAAAAAAGTAGAATCCCTCCAACAGCGGCGAGGGCAGAATTCAGATTGCAAGGAAGAAAGAATGGGCTGTTTCACGTTGACCTGTACCTTGTGCAATCATTGAAATATATTTCAAATTACCCTTGCCAGTTCTGGAGCAAATTGCAAAGCATTTCTGAATGTATTCACACGCTTAATAGTAGGAGAATCAAGACAGATGAGGGTGTTCCTCTGCACAGAGCATATAATTAAACTATGGAATCTTCTTTCACAGAATATAGTGATGCTACCACCTTGGATGTCTTTAAGTAGCAAAGAAACAAAGTCATAGAGGATAGGGCTATGAAAGGCTACCAGCCTTGATTGGTTATATATTTCCTCCAACATTAGAGGCATACCAGTTGTTGGAGAACACATGCAGGAGGGTGTTGTTGCACTTACATCCTGCTTGGGTTTTCCATAGGCATTTGGTTGGTCGCTGTGGTAAAAGAACGCAGAACATGAAGGGCTATCTGTGGTGTAATCCAGAATGACTCTTCTTCTTCTTTTATTACATAATGTAAATCATCCTGTGTTAAAACTGAGCAAATGGCTTTGTTCCAAAATAGATTTTTGTTGTCCTCAACACAGGAAAGAGGTCCATTTGGTGGTGGAGGTTTTGTCCTTTTGGCACACTCTGTAATCAAAATAAAATGTGTGTTGATCATTTGTTAACCATTTCACCATGTGAAATTATTTCTACTAGAAGATGGAGTATGCCAGAGTTAAACTTGTGTGTCAACTTGTTTGAAGTAATACATAATTAAAACAAACATACTCCATTTTACTGTGTGTAGAATTCTAGAAGTCATTATAAACTATGTTTGGGCTCTTTTTTTTTTAGCCATTCTAGCCAGTAGTATTTTCCTTTTTTCACATCAGCTATCAATTTTAATTTGTAAAGGTTGGTGTGCTAGAGATATCTTTCTGGAATTCTTCTACATTGCCCAGCTGCGCTTGTTCTCTTGAAAATAGGTATCATCCCAGGCAGTAACCATAGTGATAGGTGAAACTGTCCAGTTTGTAATGCACAGGCCTGGGTGTGATCAGCAGTGACCAGGATGCTGGGAGACATACTGCTGGCACCATTTGCTATCTCCTTGTTACATTATTCTGCAGACAGCAACCAATTTATGCTATATTTTTAGGCTGGTGTTTTTGCCAGGAGTCTTCCAAGTGGTATATAAACAATAAAAAAAGAAATCAGTTACCAGTTCTGTAATCAGTTGGCTACCCTATTAAATAATTATTATTTCATCAGTTTGTATCTTTCTTAGTTTGGGATGGGCACATACACATTCCTTTAATTTTACAATGGTGCCTACAGGGCTTGGAAGTATTTAATTACTTGTAATTGGTTTGTTTTACCAATAATTAAGGTATATTAAGACTGAAACTTAACAAGGGATAATTGCAGAGTTTTTGTGGTAGTGCACTACATTCTAGCTACTTTTATAGTTACCTTCATAGTTATAGATTTAAAAGTTTGTTAGCCACCTTGAGTGTTATTTTTTAGCGAAAAGGTGTGGTTGTTGTTACATGCTGTCAAGTTGTCTCTGATTTATGGTAGTTACATGCTGTCAAGTTATCTCTGACTTATGGTAACCTCATAAATGGGTGATTTCCAAAATGTGCTGTCCTCAACAACCCTGCTCGGCTCTTGTAAACCCAAGACTGCAGCTTCCATTATAGATGCAATCCATTTCATATATGGTCTTCCCATTTCCCGGCTGCCTTCAGCTTTTCCTAGCATTATTGTCTTCTTCAATATTATTGTCTTCTTCTGTGCCGTTTTGATGTGCCCAAAGTAGGACATCCTCAGTTTTGTCATTTTTGCC